TGATGATGATGATGATGATGATGATGATGATGATGATGATGGTGGTGGTGGTGGTGGTGGTGATGATGATGATGATGATGATGATGATGATGACGATGATGATGCGGAGCAGGAGGAGCAGGAGGAGGAGGAGGAGGAGGAGGAGGATGGAGGAGGAGGAGGCGAGTGCATTGGCCTCGCCGTCGTTGTCACAGGCGCGTCCCCCAGGAAAAGGAGGAGAAGGAGGAGGAGGAGGAGTAGGAGGAGGAGGAGGAGGAGGACGAGGAGGGTGGGAGTGAAGTCAAGATGCACCAATGATGCTGCAAGTCACCCTCCTGTCCCAAGGCCCCTCCCAATGAGTCCCCACACGCAGTCCTTTCCGCTACGGAAATCGCCTCCCTGAAAGACGAGCGCCCTGAGGGTTTTTTTTTTTTTTGGTTTCTCTCGATTTTGTTTGGTTCCTCTCGAGTTTTTTTCGGCTTCTCTCTCGAGTTTTTTTTGGTTTCTCTCGAGATTTTTTGTTTGGTATTCTGTCTCTCAAGACGATCTCCTACTTTTCGGGCCGCTGCGAGAATCCACCATCCATCCCTGTAGCCGCAGCGAGTCCAGATGGGCAGGACCACAGAGATGAAGGAATTCTGGCCGCTTCGCGGTCCGCGTGCGCGCGCTCTCTCCAAGTGTTGAGCATGTCGTCTTGCCCTTCAAATTCAGCAGTTCCGAGCGTTATTTTGATGCCGTTTCCACCTTACTTGTTATTTGCTCGACTTATCATTGTTCTTGCCTGCAATGCCAAACAATGCTAAGCGTTGTCAAGCGATGCCAACCACTGCCGAGCATTGCCGAGTGACGCGAAGCAGGGCCAACGCAGTGCAAACCAACGCAAATCAATGCACATCAATGCCAAGCAACGCCAAGCATTGCCAAGCAGCCAAGCAACGTCAAGCGATGCCGAACAACGCAACGCAACGCAACACAGCGCCAAGCAGCGCGCCGAGCAGCGCCAAGCCGCGCCAAGCAGCGCCAAGCAATGCCGAGCAATGCCAAGCAATGCCGCACAGTACTAAGCAAGGCCTTCCCTGCCTCGTCACTTCCTTGGGAAGCTTTCCCCCGATGGGGGTCGCGCCGGGTGCTTACACTCTTGTCGTCAGGTCGTGTCTGGGGTTCGGAGGGTTCTGCGAGTCTGATGGATCCCAGGGCCAGCCCCCCTCCTCTGCCCCTCCCCCTCCGCCTGCGCGTGGTGGGCCGATCTGGGGCTCTCTGAGGCCACGCGGGGCCCTCGGGGGGCCCTCTTGAGGGCCTCTTTCGGGGAGACGTGAGGCTCGCGCTCGCCGGAACTCGGGCTTGCCGACGTCTCTTGACGGCCCTGCCTGGACTCGTGACGGTCCAGCTCTTCGTGGGATGCCTGCAGCGGAGGCTCGCGTCAAGTTTCAGACTGGGGCTCGTCATTCTCCTGACGGCCCCGTCATCACGAACGAACAACACACACACCCATACCCATAGGGAGGTCGTTGGGAGGAGGACTGGCTATGGGTATGGGTGCGGGTTGTCGGACCCTGGGGAACGCTCCCGTTCGAGCGAGGACCCCCATTCGACAACACGCACCCATAGCCCTCTTCGACCCCCCCATGGGTATGGGTGTGTGTTGTTGGTTCGTCACGTCAGGCCCACCCGAGTCCCCCGAACCCGAGTCTTACGTCCCCCCGACTCGTGCCATCGTGGGCCCTCTTGGACCGTTCCGGGGCTCTTCTGGGGCTCGTGCAGTTCTTCTTGGGGCGATCCTGGGGGCCTCTTGGGCCGTCCTGGACACCTTGAAGATCGACGAAGAAGGCAGTGCGCCAGCATCGTTCAAACATCTGTAAGGAATGAGCTGGATTATTGCTCGTGGGCGGCTCTTGAGGGTCCTCCTGGGGCCCTCTTGAGCCGTCTTGGGGGTCTCCGTGTGTCTTGGGGCCATCTTGTGGCCATCTTGGGTGTCTCTTCGGGCCATCATCAGACCTCCCTGGGCCTTCTTGGGTCATCTTGGGTCGGTCGTGGAGCCGCATTCGGCACTTTTGGAGCTCTGTGGGGTCGGTTTTGAGGTGCAGTAGGCAGTTTGCTGAGCAGGTCGGCAGGCATGGGAAGAGGTTGTCGGATGTAGCGTGGCCCGCCAGAGGGGCTCTGGGGTGTGTTTGCACTGCACGCGTGCTCGGCAAGTGACGAGTACGTGCTGCACATCTGGTCCGGGAGGCTGGGCCCCTAAATCGGCCCCTTGCTTGCTGCTGCGTCGCAGTCCAGCCGTGGTTTCTCGAACCGCACGCCGCGTCCGCTGGCCCTAGCATGGCGCCCGTGGGGCGCTCGTCACGGTGCGCCTCTTCAGGCCCCTCCTGGGCTCTCTCGGCCTCCAGGGGCCCCTGGGCGTGCTCCAGGGGGTTATATGTGGGGTCATCGGAGGGGGATCCCGAGGCTCGCCGGGGCAGTCGCAGCGCAGCCGGAGGTGGGCCCGGTATGGGGGCGGGGGCCGTGACGCCGCACCTTCGGGGGACCTCGCTTGCCCCCAAGATGGATGCCTTCTCCTGTGCCCGACGCGGGCTCGATGCGGACTCGACGCGGAGCCGCTGTGGATCCCGCGCGGACTCGGCACGGACATTCGACACGGACCCGTCGAGGCCGACGTGGAGACTCGACAGGGGATTCTCGACGGGGATTCGACGGGCCGCGACGGGACAGACGAGGTCCCCAAGAGGATGCAGCGTACAGTGCCGTTTTTAATACATGCTCCGCGTAAAAAAACGAGTTCATGCATAGATCCATTCACACAGTAATCATGTATTAGGAATCCAATATCTTAAAACACCCTATGCATTAAAAACTGCCCTGTAGGGGTTGGGACGCGGGGGGGGACCCGGCCTCCCTCCCGAGCCGTGCGCCGGCGGCGCCCGGGGGCCCGGCCGCGGAGGGGCCCCGCCCAGAGGCCCCGGAGCCGGCCCCCTCGGAGGCTTCCCCCGCCGCGAGGGGTGGGCCTCCTTTGGGGGGCCTCCTGGGGGGGCCTCTGGGGGGGGCCTCTGTGGGGGGCATCATGCAGCGTACAATGCCGTTTTTAATACATGCTCCGCGTGCGGATCATGTATAAAAAATGCAAGGATGTAGTATTAAGACATGAGTTCATGCATACATTCATTCGTGCATTAATCATGTATTAAGAAGCCCATATTTTATAAAACATCCTATGTCTCAAAAACTGCCCTGTAAGGGTTGGGACACGGGGGGGACCCGGCCTCCCTGGGGGGCCTCCTGGGGGCGGAGGGCCCGATTCCTCCGCTCGCGTTCTCCCTCTCTCGGGCCCCTCCTGGTGGGGTGCCTCGAGGCGCGGCGGGGGGCTCTGAGACTGTGGAGGGGGGGGGGTCCCGTGAGGGGCTCGCGGTGGCAAGTCGTGGGGGCCTGGTGTAGGTGCCCTGTTGATTCTGCCTCCAGCGCCGATGAGCGTCGGTTGGCGTCGGGGAGTCGGTGGAAGAGCGCCGCTTCAGCGTCGATTTGACGTCGATGTGGCGTCGACTAGCGTTGACTAGCGCCGATTCGCAGGAGCCGAACGGATGGTGTGGGAGGCTCCCGTGAATTGCCACTGAGGGTGGGGGAGGGTTGTCCACATCCGGTGGCCCCAGAGTGCCGCCCAGGCGGCTAAAGGGGGGGGGGGGGAAGGTTGAAGGAGGGAGGGGAGGGAAGAGGGAGGGGCAATGGCGAGGACGGGAGTGCGAGGAGAGAGGGAGAAGGAGGAGGGAGGGACGAAACAAGAGAAGGAGGGAGGGCAAAAAGGAAGGGGGCAAGCGGAGAGTGTGCGCCAAAGGGCAGGAGATGGAACAGCAGGACGGGGGGCAAGAGAAATGGAGCAGGGAGGGAAATGGATGAGAGAGGGAATAAGAGGTGAGGGAAAGTGAGGTGGGACGGAAATGCAGGAGAGAGCTCTCGGGGTACAGATTGGAGGAGTGCAGGAGGGAGCTCTCGGGGGCCAATCGGCCGCACTTGGGGGGCCCCTGAGACATCTTGGGCCGTTGTGGAGTCCTTTTGGGCCGTACTGGGGCGCTCTTGGGCCGTCAGGAACCCCCCCGAGGCCATCCTCGCGGCCCCTGGGGGCTGTCCTGGAGTCCTTTTGGCTGGTCTTGGTGCTCTCTTGGTCCTGAGGCTTCTTGGGAATCTCTCCGGCCGTCTTCAGGCAGCCTTGGGCCGTCTTGCGGCCCGCTTGAGCCGCAAGGTAGCGATCATGGCCGTCTTGGCCGTCTTGGGCCAATCTGGGCCGTCTTGCAGATCTTGGGAGGATTTGGAGCCAGGTTCATGGGAATCATTATGGTGAGCGTGACCGGGCCGTTCACCCCGCTCAAACATGTGATTTGGGAAATCTCGTGGGTCGAGCTACGGGGGGGAATAATCTCATCCGCCTGGATACCCCAAAGACGGGGTCGGTGGATTTGACAGTCGGAAGCAAGCCCTCAGCGTGTCTCAAACTTGCTCCGCGCAAGCCTGACAGTACATCCTCGCAGAGCTGGCAAGCAGAGAGCGAGTGCGTTCTTCCGCTTTTTCCTGCGCAGGTGCGGCGCTTGAGGTGATGCCTGCCACAGAAAGAGTTTCTTCGATCCGTCTTTGGTCCGTTCGTCGATCCTCCTCGTGGCGGTCTCGCCGGCGCCGGCGGGGTGGCGTCTCCGCGGCAGACCGAAGCGGGCCTTGCCCAGGGAGTCGTGCAAGAGTGCAAAAGTCTGGAGCTTCCTGGGTGATTGATCCCACGGGGTGGTTGTCTTCAGTGGATGATCTGAGTGCTTGTGCGCCTTGTGGCTCTATGAGGTTCTACGATGTTTTTTTGGGGCTCTATCAGTTTTAGGAGTTCTCGTTGCTGTGCTCTCAGCTCAGGGTCCTGAGGATTTCCAAGCAAGGCCAAGAAGGGCCGAGCAAAGGCAGGCAATACCAATCATGGAACCCAGCGAGTCGGCAGTGCAGGCCAAGAGAGGGGCCCATGAGGGGCCAGAATGGAGCGAGCATCGGTTTCGGCTGCGTGTTGGGAGTGACGTGGAACACGACCTCGTCTCAGACGCCCCGTCTTTGGCTCCAGAAAGGGGAACGACGTACAGCCAGGCGGCGGACTGGCGGAGGCTCCCGGGGGGCACACAAGGGGGGGCCAAAGCTTTGTGGCTCAAGCGACGCGCTCAGGCTTCCGCCCTGCTTCACCCGCTGCCGCCCGCGCTGTTCCTCGCTGCTCCCTGCGCGCGGCGATGGCGTTCGCCAGCTCGCTCTGCCTCCTGCTTCTCCTCCAGATCCCGCTGGGCCTGGGCTACAACCAGACGGTCTCCCAGGGGCAGCTCCGGGGCCTTCCCGTCTTCTGCCAGTTGTGCGCAGACGGCGAGGTGTGCGTCGGGTACGACCACCTCTGGAGATGCGTGGGCGGCTGCGCACAGACCGTGGCCTGCGACGCGGAGGGGTGCAGCACCTGCGGGGACCGCGCAGAGTACCTGATGAACTGGAACAACCCCTTCCCCGCTGGCCTGCCCTTCGACGAGGCGCTGGGCACGGTGGCCCGCGAGTTCCCAGGACGAGTGCGGCTGCTTCCCGTCGGGGTCGGGGCTTGCGCTGACGGCGGCGCCGAGCGGATCGGGCGTCTTCTGCAACCCGCAGCTGGACCAGATGTGCCCTCCCGGCGACGTGGCTTGCCCGCAGTGCGGCTCGGACCGGTGCGAGTGCCCGAGCAGTCCTGCGGCTGCTCTGAGCTTATCCGTGCCTGGCAACAGGTCGCTCCGGGGCCTCTCCGGGAAGATCTACTGCAACCCAGGGCTGCAGCAGATGTGCCCACCGGGCGACGTGGCGTGCCCGCAGTGCGGCTCGGACAGCTGCGAGTGCCCCAGCAGCCCGAGCCCGAGCCCGTCTCCTTCTGGCGCCACGTGTGGCAGGACGGGGCAGGTGTGCGCAGGCGGCGAGGCGTGCGTCGGGTACTACCACTCCTGGGGATGTGTGGGCGGCTGCGCACAGACCGTGGCCTGCGACGCCTGGAAGGGGTGCAGCACCTGCGGGGACCGCGCAGAGTACCTGATGAACTGGAACAACCCCGGCAGTGGCCTGTCCTTCGACGAGGCGCTGAGCACGGTGGCCCGCGAGTTCCCAGGCGAGTGCGGCTGCTTCCCGTCGGGGTCGGGGCCCGCGCCGACTGCGGCGCCGAGCGGATCGGGCGTCTTCTGCAACCCGCAGCTGGACCAGATGTGCCCTCCCGGCGACGTGGCTTGCCCGCAGTGCGGCTCGGACCGGTGCGAGTGCCCATGAGTGTGACAGAGGTGTTTGCGAAGTGCGTCGAGCACGATCAGATGGGACCCTTGGGTCTGACCACAGCGCGATGGTGACATCGTGCACAGTGCCATCCTGCTCGAGACTACATTGCCCCCGCCAGTGTCAATAGAGCAACGGCAGTACAGAGTGCATGTGCGAGGAGGCTCCGACACCTGCAACCCTTCTCGAGAATGTGGGTTGCCCTTGACAGGTGCCCCCAAAAAATTATCCTGGCGAAGGACCCAACCATATGCAGCTGTGCGTACCGCAAGTGTGAGTATCTCCTTCGGTAGCGATCCCTAAGGGGCCACGAAACGCATGAGGGCTGTGCCAGGGCCTTCAGTGGAGCTCCCTGTGGGACCACGACACGTGCAAGGGGTGGGCCTTCGGTGGAGCTCCCTGTGGGGCCACGAAACGTGTGAGGGGTGTTCCGAAATGGGTGCGTTGGGCGCATGCGAACGCAGCCACTGGGGCCTTCGGTGGAGCTCCCTATGGGGCCACGAAACGTGTGAGAGGTTTGCCGAAAAGGGTGCGGTGGGCGCAAGCGAACGCAGCCAGTGGGGCCTTCGGTGGAGCTCCCTGTGGGGCCACGAGACGTGTGAGGGGTGTGCCGAAATGGGTACGGTGGACGCATGCGAACGCAGCCATTGGTGCCTTCGGTGGGGCTCCCTGTGGGGCCACGAGACGTGTGAGGGGTGTGCCGAAATGGGTGCGGTGGGCGCAAGCGAACGCAGCCGTTGGGGCCTTCGGTGGAGCTCCCTGTGGGGCCACGAGACGTGTGAGGGGTGTGCCGAAATGGGTACGGTGGACGCATGCGAACGCAGCCATTGGTGCCTTCGGTGGGGCTCCCTGTGGGGCCACGAGACGTGTGAGGGGTGTGCCGAAATGGGTGCGGTGGGCGCAAGCGAACGCAGCCGTTGGGGCCTTCGGTGGAGCTCCCTGTGGGGCCACGAGACGTGTGAGGGGTGTGCCGAAATGGGTACGGTGGACGCATGCGAACGCAGCCATTGGTGCCTTCGGTGGGGCTCCCTGTGGGGCCACGAGACGTGTGAGGGGTGTGCCGACATGGGTACGGTGGGCGCATGCGAACGCAGCCGTTGGGGCCTTCGGTGGAGCTCCCTGTGGGGCCACGAAGCGCGTGAGGGGTGTGCCGAAATGGGTGCGGTGGGCGCATGCGAACGAAGCCACTGGGGCCAACGGTGGAGCTCCCTATGGCGTCACGACACGTGTGAGGGGTGTGCCGAAATGGGTGCGGTGGGCGCATGCGAACGCAGCCACAGGGGCCTTCGGTGGAGCTCCCTGTGGGGCCACGAGACGTGTGAGGGGTGTGCCGAACTGTTGGCGGTGACGCATGCGAGCGCACCCATTGGGGCCTTCGGTGGAGCTCCCTATGGGGCCACGAAGCGTGTGAGGGGTATGACGTATTGATGCTGGATGATGATGACGATGATGATGGTGACGGTGATGCTGATGATGGGGATAGGGAGGGGGGGGGGAGCGGGAGGAAGGACGCGGGCGCTGTCTCTTCAAAACGAAAACCCAACACTACAGGATGGTTGGGAACAAGGGGGGGCTAAAACTCAAGTCGGGCATGTCCCTCTACAGGAGGTGTTTTCAAGATAAAGAATAGCTTGTCAGGCGCCCCAAAAGACAACGGGGGGCTAAAGCTTAAGTCGGGCATGTCTCTCTACAGGAGGAGTAGTGAAGATTATCCCAGTGCGACCCTACCTAGGAGTTGGAGCCCCTAGGAAAGCAGCATTAGTAGTAACAGTGAAGCTAAGCTAAAGCTAAGCTAAAGCTAAGCTAAGCTAAAGCCAAGCTAAAGCTACGCTAAAGCTAAGCTAAAGCTAAGCTAAAGCTAAGCTAAAGCTAAGACAAAGCTAAGCTAAAGCTAAGCTGAAGCTAAGCTGAAGCTAAGCTGAAACTAAGCTAAAGCTAAGCTAAAGCTACGCTAAAGCTAAGCTAAAGCTAAGCTAAAGCTAAGCTAAAGCTAAGCTAACTAAGCTGAATCTAAGCTAAAGCTAAGCTAAAGCTAAGCTACATCTAAGCTAAAGCTAATCTAAAGCTAAGCTACAGCTAAACTAAATCTACGCTAAAGCTAAGCTAAAGCTAAGCTAAAGCTAAGCTAAAGCTAAGCTGAAGCTAAGCTAAAGCTAATTCTAAGCTACAGCTAAGCTAAAGCTAAGCTGAAGCTAAGCTGAAGCAAAGCTAAATCTGAGCTAAAGCTAAGCTGCATCTAAACTAAAGCTAAGCGAACGTTAAACTAAAGCTTAGCTAAAGCTAAGCTGGAGCTAAGCTGAAGCTAAGCTAAAGCTAAGCTACAGCTAAGCTAAAGCTAAGCTAAAGCTAAGCTGAAGCTAAGCTACAGCTAAGCTAAAACTAAGCTAAAGCTAAGCTAAAGCTAAGCTAAAACTAAGCTAAAGCTAAGCTAAAGCTAAGCTAAAGCTAAGATGAAACTAAGCTGAAGCTAAGCTGAAGCTAAGCTGAAGCTAAGCTGAAGGTAAGCTAAAGCTAAGCTGGAGCTAAGCTGAAGGTAAGCTAAAGCTAAGCTAAAGCTAAGCTAAAGCTAAGCTGAAGCTAAGCTAAAGCTAAGCTACAGCTAAGCTAAATCTAAGCTAAAGCTAAGCTAAAGCTAAGCTAAATCTAAGCTAAAGCTAAGCTAAAGCTAAGTCAAAGCTTAGCTAAAGCTAAGCTAAAGCTAAGCTAAAGCTTAGCTAAAGCTAAGCTAAAGCTTAGCTAAAGCTAAGCTAAAGCTAAGCTAAAGCTAAAGCTAAAGCTATAGCTAAAGCTCCCAGGGGACTGGGGGAACCGCGGGGCGGGGACTGGGGGAACCGCCCGGGGCGTGGTGCACTGCCCGGCCCCTTTAAGCTAAGAGAGTAAGAACCCTCTAGGCGGAGCCTAGGTAGGGAATAAAGAATAGTCTGGCGACGATTTGTCGTGTTCTTTTGACAATTTGAGATTATTATCTGATTATTTTGCATTTTTCTCACATCATCCGCCTGCAGGAGGACATGCCTGGCCTGAGGCTGAAGCGTTGGAGTGCGCTGTCGAAGTTGAACGCCGCACGCCCATCCGCCGAGTGGGCGGGCGGACGCAAGTGGCCTGCGCCGTCCCGCCGGCCTCCCCTCGAAGAGGAGAGAGGCAGCAGGACTTCGACAGGTCGAGGTTGGAGCTGCGGTCGCTCCGCTCGACGTGAGCAACCTCGAAGGAGGTTGGCTGGGAGCCTCGAAGGTCATTTTTGGAGCGTTGCAGTGGAGCGCGCTCGTCTAGCCTCGGCTCATCGATCGTTCTGGCCCTCTCTCTCGGCCCGGACGCGCCGCCCGCACCCTCGGTGTGCTGTGCTGGGCCCCCCGAGGGCGCGCCCCCCTCGGCGCGAAGGCTCGCGGAGGGCACTGCGCGAACGCTCTCGGTGCCTGCTATCGAACGACGCCACGACGGTCCGAGCCTGAGGTGCGCGGAGCTTTGCCCAGGCGTCGCGCGAGAGGGGCCAGGATGCCTCCAGAGGCTGCCGAGCCCACGAGCCTCCCAGCTGACGGAGCCTCGCAGGGATTCCCCAGGCTTCCGAGGGCCTCCGCAGAGCCTCCCAGGCTCGCCCCAGAGTTTCCCAGAGGCCTCCCAGGACCCCCCGCGGACATGCCTGCAGCAGCGGGGCATCCCTGTGGAATCCCAATAGACCCATGTTTTTTCCCTAGCCTCGAGATGATGATGACGATGATGATGATGCTGATGCTGCTGCTGATGATGCTGATGCTGATGATGCTGCTGTTGCTGATGATGCTTCTGATGCTGGTGCTGATGATGCTGATGCTGATGATGATGATGATGATGATGATGATGCTGATGATGATTATGTTGATGGACGATGACGATGAGGATGATGATGATGCTGATGATGAAGATGACGGTGCTGACGATAACGATGCTGATGGTGATTTTGATGATGATGATGTTGATGATGATGGTGATGCTGATGCTGATGATGGTGGTGATGATGATGCTGGTGATGATGCTGATGACGATGCTGATGACGGTGATGATGACGACGATGCTGATGATGATAATGATGGTGATGACGATACTGATGATAACAATGATGATGACAATGATGATGCTGCTGCTGATGATGATACTGATGATGATACTGATGATGATACTGATGATGATGATGATGATGATGATGATGATGATGGTGATGATGGTGGTGGTGGTGGCTGTCGTTGTGGTGGTGGTGGTGATGATGATGCTGATGCTGAAACTGCTGGTGACGATGATGCTGGTGTTCATGATGCTGATGAGGATGCTGCTGCTGCTGATGAGGATGATGATGATGGTGGTTGCGCTGATGCTGACGATGACGATGCTGGTTGTGATGATGATGCTGCTGCTACTGATGATGATGATGATGATGATGATGATCATGAGTACGATGACGATCACGATGATAATGATGATGCTGATGGTGATGGTGATGATGATAATGATGATGATGACGATGACGATGGCAATGATGAGGACGATGATGATGATGATGATGAAGATGATGATGACGATGATGATGAGGATGATGATGATGACGATGATGATTGATGATGATGATGATGATGATGATGATGATGATGATGATGATGATGATGATGATGATGATGATGATGATGATGATGATGATTGATGTTGATAGTGCTGCTGATGCTGCTGCTGTTGATGATGGCGCTCATGGCGTTAATGACGAGAATGCCGACGATGGATGATGATGACACGATGATGGTGAAATGGTGATGAACTGATGGACCGAGTTGCTGCTGGTGATGATGACGAAATGATGATGGTGATGATGCTGATGATGTTGATGATGGTGATGATGATGCTGAAGCTGATGATGTTGATTCTTTTGCTGATGCTGATGCGGATGCTGATGATATGATGATGATGCTAATTATACTGATGATGACGATGATGATGAGGATGATGGTACTACTGATGATGATGATGATGATGATGACGATGATGACGACGATACTGATGATGATGATGATGATGCTGCTGATGATGATGCTGATGCTGATGTTGATGTTGATGCTGATGCTGATGCTGATGCTGATGACGAGGATTGTGATAGTGACGGTGATGGTAGTGTTGATGGCGTTGGCGACGAAGACGGCGACGATGATGATGCTTCTGCTGCTGATGACGATGATGATGATGATGATGATGATGTTGGTAGTGGTGGACGCGGTGGTGGTGGTGGCGGTGGCGGTGGCGACGACTACGACGATGATGGCGACGAATCCGGCGGCGACGATAACGGCGACGACTAAGGGTGAGGGTGCGGATGAGGGTGAGGATGACGATGGTGGTGGTGGTGGCGGTGGTAATGATGATGCAGCTGATGAGGATGATGCTGATGATGATGATGATGATGATGATGATGATGATGATGGTCGATGTTGATGGTGATGATGTTGATGATGATGATGATGATTCTGGTGGTGATGCTGGGGATGATGCTGATGATGATGACGGCGATGATAATGATGATGATGAGGATGCTGATGACGATGATGACGACCACGACAACGACGACGATGCTGATGTTGATGCTGCTGATGGCGATGATCATACTGCTGCTGATGATGATTCTGCTAATGCAACTAGTGTTGATGCTATTGTTGCTGCTGATGATGATGCTGATGACGATGACGGCAACGACGAGGATTATGCGATGATGCTGCCGATGATAATGAGGTCGTCGCTGATGCTGCTGATGATGATGTTTATGGTGCCGCTTCTGCTGCTGACGCTGACGATGTCACTGCAAGCGCTGGCATTAAGGCTGATGCTGTCGATGATGCTGAGGATAATTTTGATGCTGATGGTGATGCTGATGACGATAATGATGCTGATGACGACGATGCTGACGGCGATGACGATAACAATGTTGATGATGCTGCTGCTGATGATGAGGAGGATGATGATGATGATGCTGATGCCGCTGATTATGATGCCGATTGTGGATTTGATAATGATGCGGATGGTCACGATGCTTGTTCCGGTGACGCTCATGATGTGGATGGCGATGGGAGTGATGATGTTTTGTGTTAGCAGCACTTGGCAGCGAGGGTGCGATGATGATGGCGACGACATCGACGATGATGACGAGGGCGGGGGATTCTGGGGTGGCGGTCTGGGGCCCGCGCCGCGGCGGCATTTTGCGCTCTCGCCTCGGCGCCGCGCACCTTTTTCAAGCGCGGTGTTCTCGCCTCGGCGCCTGGCGCATTGTTGGCAGCATCCTGATGGCGATTCGAGCCTCGTTGGAACTGCAGAGGTCGGCGGGGCCTGTCCGCGGCGTCCGTCGTCTCCGTCGGCGTCCGCGGCGTCTCCGTCTCCTCAAGGAGGGATTCCTTAGTAAGAATTCTTCAGTAAACGTTCCTTAATTAGAGTTCCATGATGCAGATTCCTTCGAACATATTCCTGAATCACGAATCCTTCGTAAAAGTTGCTTGATGAAGACAGTGCAATAAAGATGCCTTAATCGAGGTTCATGAATCTATATTCCTTGGTAATGATTCCTCACTGGCGATTCCTTTGCAAAGACTCCTTAGTCAGAATTCCTTACTACGGGTTCCTAAACACAGATTCCTTATGAAGGATTCCCTCATACATATTCCTTAATACAGATTCCTTCGTACATGTTCCTTACTGCAGATTCCTTGCGAAGGATTCCTCAATGATATTCCTCAGTGAGGATTCCTTATAGGGAGGATTCTTCAATGCACGTTTCTCACCGAGAATTCCTCAGGGTTCATACATGGAGGTTCCTTAATCTAGATTCCTGAGCAAGGGTTCCATAATGCATTTTCCTTTTTAGGGACCCCTTAGTGAGGATTCCATCGCATGAATTTATTGGTAAAGTCCCCAGGCTAAGGATTCCTGAATGATGATTCCTGGGCAATGATTCCTTAGGCAGGAAGCCTCAGTAAGGATTCTTCAATGCGCATTCCTCAGTGCAGATCCCTTAATGCAGATTCCGTAGCACATAACTCTTGCGAAATATTCCTTCGCAAATATCCTCTAGTGCAGGTCTCTTGATACAGGTTTCTTAATGCAGGTTGCTTGAATACATATTCCGTAATAGCGGTTCTTTAATAAGCATCCCTTAGTGCAGATTCTTTGCTAAGGACTCCATGGTAATGGTTCCGGAGTAAGGATTCTTCAGTGAGGCGCCTTTACCAAGGAGTGCTTAGTAAACATTCTCTCGCACAGGTTCCTGATTAAAGTCTCCCGAGTAAATCTTCCCGTCTACGGATACCTTCGTGCAGGTTCCTTACTACGAACTCCACTGTAAGCATTCAATACTAAGGGCCCTTTAATCACGATTCCTGATTAAGGCTCCTTCAAAAACTCCCGACGAAGGATTTCTCATAACAGATTCCTTATCAAGGGGTCCCCAGCAACGATACCTATTCACCCATGGAGATTCCTCGCTAACTTGGAGAAGATTCCTTGCAACGAATATGATTTTTGTTGTTCTAGATCATTCCTTATTAAGGATGTCTGAGTGAGGGTTCCTCAGCCAGGAGTCCCGAGTGATGGTTATTCAATCAGGGTTCCTTAGTCATGTAAAGACTATCCAATGCCAAGCAGCGCCTAAATATGCCAGGCAATGGCAAGAGCGGGACAGCTCATTGCCTAGCACCGCCAATCACGACCCACCAATTCTAGGCAATGCCAAGCACGACCAACCAATGCTGATGACCTCAAGCTAATGCCGAGCAGCGCCATGGATCACCAAACAATTCCAAGCAACGCCAAGCACGAGCAACCACTGCCAAACACGACCTTCCAATGCCAAGCATGTCCTACACGTGCCAGGCAATGGCAAGAGCGGGGGCACGCATTGCCAAGCACCGCCAAACATGACTAACCAATGCCGAACGATGCCAAGCACGCCCATTCAATGCCATGCGCGACCAATCAACGCCAAGCATGATCAACCAATGCCACGCAATGCCAAGCGCGATTGTTCAATGTCACGCGCGACCAAGCCATGCCAGGCAATGCCAAGGTCGACCAGTCAATGCCACGCGCAAGCACGCAATGCTGAGAAATGCCAAGCAGGAGTAACCAGTGCGAAGTCAAGCCGACCACGACCACTCAATGCCAAACGCAACCAAGCAACGCCAAGCACCACCAACCAAGGCCAAGCAGGAGCACTCATTTGCAAACCGCTCCAAGCATGACCAACGAATACCAAGCGTTGCCTCGCCCAGAGCACTGGAGCATCGCATCCGCAGTGGAGCATCACCACAATATACAGGGCATCGTACCGGGGTTATTCCACAGGAGCCACCAGTCTGAAACAATCGCTGTCAGGGCCGCCACCAGCGCGCCGCCGTGGACGAACAGAAGAAAGAACGCCAGGGGCAGGCAAAGCGGGGGGAGGATCAGGGGGCCTCAGGGGCACCAGGTCACATCGGAAGCGGCGGCGGCGAGGCCGGCCCTCGAAGCCGGCGGCGGCGGTCTCGGAGCGGCGGCCCTCGAGCGCTTCTTTGAG